AAGTATGGGCAAGCTTCACATAGTGGCTGTGTCGACTCCAGAAATGGCCCGAGAGGTCCTCCAGACCCAAGACAGCATATACTCAAATCGGCCTGCAAACGATGCCATAATATACTTCACCTACGATAGAGCTGATATGGCCTTTGCCAATTACGGCCCGTTTTGGCCTCAAATGCATAAGATCTGTGTCATGAAGGTCTTCAGTCGCAAACGAGCCGAGTCTTGGGCCTCCGTACGTGAAGAAATAGGCCCAACCGTCGAAACAGAAACTGGGTTCCCCTGTTAACCTTGGCGAGTTGGTGTTTGCCTTGACGAGGAACAAAACTTACAGGGCAGCTTTTGGGTCCTTTCACGAGACGGGCAAGATGAGTTTGTCAAAATCTTGCAAGAATTCTCCAAGCTTCTTGGAGCTTTTAATATTGCAGATTTCTTCCCATGGTTGGGTTGGATTCATGGGAAAGAATTTCGCAAGAGGTTAGTCAAGGCTCAGGCATCATTGGATGGGTTCATTGACCACATCATCGATGAACATTTGGCAAAGAGAAAGAAATATGGTAAAGATGGCAAAGATCATGACATAGAGGAAGACATGGTAGATGAATTAATGGCTTTTTACAGTGAAGATGTTTCCAAAGGATATTATGACGAGTCGTCCCAGCCTACGATCAGGCTCACCAAGGATAACATCAAAGCTATTATCATGGTAAAGAATTACTTTAAAAATGTTAGAAACATGCTTACCACTTTTTCTTTTTTTATTCTTATTTGGGTGATGGTATGGTATTCACAACTAAAGCTATCAAATCTATTTCAATAATTTTCAAATTAATTACTTACCAAATAAAGTAATTTGTTCATATATGCATGCATATTTCTTTGTTCAACTACTATATATGTGCCTATGACAGGACGTAATGTTTGGTGGAACTGAAACCGTGGCATCTGCAATAGAATGGGCAATGGCGGAGTTAATGAAGAGCCCCGAAGACCTCAAGAAAGTCCAGCAAGAACTCGCCGATGTAGTCGGGTTGAACAGAGTCGTCCATGAGTCCGACCTTGAAAAATTAACCTACCTCAAATGTGCCATCAAAGAAACCTTACGCCTCCACCCGCCAATCCCTCTCCTCCTCCACGAGACGGCTGAGGACTCCGTCCTTGCCGGGTTTCGAGTAACGGCAGAATCGCGTATAATGATCAGTGCTTGGGCTATCGGGCGTGACCGGTCATCATGGAAAGACCCGGATGCGTTCAAACCTAGCAGATTTCTCAATGACGCTGCACCTGATTTTAAGGGTAGTAACTTTGAGTTCATTCCGTTTGGGTCGGGTCGAAGGTCTTGCCCGGGGATGCAACTCGGGTTATATGGATTGGAGCTAAGTGTGGCTCACTTGCTTCATTGCTTTAATTGGGAGTTGCCTGATGGAATGAAGCCTAGCGAGCTTGACATGAACGATTTGTTTGGACTCACTGCTCCACGAGCGAGCCGACTTGTCGCTGTGCCGAGTTACGGGCTGAGTTGTCCATTCCCTGTACCGGAAAATTAATGGGGTTGAGGAAGCAGTAGTGGAGAAAACATGCAGAAACAGAAGAAAGAAGTTTAATTGAAGCTATAGACTTACGGGGTTGGGATGAAAATGGGTTTAGTCATAAATATTATTATATGTTGTTTTTTTTAAGTTAATTATGCAAAGAAAATGTTGGTAGCTTTTCACTTGTTTTGTTTTGTGCAAGTTAATTTAGAAAATTAGTTTAATGTAAGATTGTTTTATCATACATCTGATATTTATCTATAGCAACTTAAGTCATATATAAAATAGCAAATAATTGAGCTTATTTATGGTTGAAAAAAGGCTAAAACTTTGCTTAGTTTAAGCATACATACTTATTTAAGGATGAAGGCAAACCACGTTTTTTTTTTTTTAGCAATTTTGTTGGGTGTATTTCGTCAAAAATCAAGGAAATTTGATTAAATAGTAACCCCTATGGCTTATGCATGTACAACAAACATACATATTACAAACATCAACAAGTCATTGACATCATACTAAAAGAAATATTTTATGAAAATTTAAATAAATTTTTATTTTTTTATTTTAATTTAAATCTATCTTCATGATTAATTAATTGTCATTAATTAAAATAATATACGGTTACGTGATAATTTTAATTTTCACTATGACAAGTTAGTGTGTTATGTTAAAATAACAGATGTTATTTTAAATAATGATAGTTAATCAATTATTAGTTAAAAAAATCTATTAGATTTAAAATAAAAAATATAAAAATTTGATCAAAAGTAATTAAAAAAATTATTTAAAAAATTTTAAATAATTAAATTTTTTTATTGATTTAAGCTAAAAGATCATGTTAATTATTCGTAACCGCTCTTAGTATACATTTGACATCCTAAAGAATATTGAAATATATATGTTGATGAGTTCTTCAAGAACTACCGAACCAAAGTTTCGTTCACGTTTTTTGCCGTAGCATCCCTATTTTTGCAGGTGAAGATGGACGTTTCTTTTCGACTATCCATGCACAGTTTGTAACGTCATCCATACGGTTAAAGTTCTCTACCTCACAGAAAGCAACTCCAACTCTTCCTATATATAATGTGAACCTCTCCAACACTTTCTTTCAATTTCTCATCGATTAACTTACTTTCTATCTCACAACAGCAAACAGGAAAAGCATCAACCATGGCTTCTTTAACCTCTGCTTGGGCAACTGCATCTCCTTCTGTGAAGCAACATTCTTCTTCACAGACCAAATCACTGTTGCCTGTAGCTTTCAAGCTGATCACAAACCCAACTTTAAATAAGAGCTCCAAGCTTTTCACTTCCTCGACAAACTACAACAGCTTCTCAGAACCCAAAACATCTTTCACTTTCAAAAGTCACGCCACTCCATCTAATAATAACTCAACACCCAGTAATTATTCGTATCATTTTCTCTGTGAGTGTGTTTGATCATGTGATAATGATCATTGGTTTTCTGATTAGGCGTCTTCTTTTGTGCAGGCAAAGTCCAAGAACTGTATGTGTATGAGATAAACGAAAGAGATCGTGGGAGTCCTGCTTATCTAAGTTTGAGCCAGAAATCTGTCAAGTCTCTTGGTGATCTTGTCTGTTTTAGCAACAAAGTAACTTTCTTCCTCCTCTTTTTTTCTTTTTCCCCATTTTATTACTTTGTTCTTTCTTCCTCATCTCTTTTTTTGGGTTTTTTTATTACAGCTGTATACGGGGGATATGCAGAAACGGATAGGAATAACATCGGGGATGTGCATTCTGGTCCAACACAAACCGGAGAAGAATGGAGAGCGTTACGAGGCGTTGTCCAGCTTTTACTTCGGCGACTACGGTCACATAACTGTGCAGGGACCTTACCTGACCTACGAGGATTCGTATCTGGCTGTGACTGGTGGGACAGGGATCTTCCTTGGGGTCATTGGCCGGGTTAGGCTGCACCAAATTCTGTTCCCTCTCAAACTCTACCATACCTTCTACTTGGAGGGCATTGCGGACCTCCCCGAGGAGCTGCTTGGCAAGTCTGTTGAGCCCAACCTAGAAGTGGAGCCCAGCCCTGCTGCACAGGCCTGTGAACCCCATGCCACCATTGCTAATTTCACTGAATAATTATGTTAACAATGACCTTAAGCAAAGGTGGTTTTAGAATTTATGGGTTGTTTTTCTCCTTTGTCCTCGTCTATATCCTTCGTTTTGATAATCAATGTGATTGGCAATAAATAATTTGTTTTCTTGCCCATGGGCTGCTTTCGATGACTATTCGGTTTATGGACACGAACACGGTAAGCGCAATTCCATTTCTAATACACATTCTTCAATTTAAATAATCTTTTAATGATATATAGTAAGTTTTTTATCTCATTTTTTGGGCACACAAAACTTATATTGGTACTTGTATATATCATATTCATGAATAAATGGTCAACATTATCATGTTTAATTTTCCATATCCAACAAAGAGCAAATAAAACTAAAAGTTTTACTCTACACATGTTGACCCTTTGATGTAGCATATACATTCTTCTTATTTCCCAAGCATTTGGATTAGTCTTACAAAAGGAAATATAAATAACATGTCAAAACAGAAACCACAATACCATCAGCTGCAAGGCCACAAGAAAATGGCATAATTCAAATGCTAACTAGAGATCATAGTTACCCATATTAACTCTATAATCAAATATTTTCACACAAAAAATCAAGCAAATTAATTGTAATAATCTCACTTCTGGAATTCTACTACATTGACATTGAAATATTTCAAACATTTTTTATCCATGTATACGAAGTAGCCCAAAGTAATCATGCAAAACCAACTTTAAAGTACTGAGAGAGAAATTCGCACCATTGCCGGACCAATAATTGTTGCTTAGATCATACATGAAAGAAGGATGCAAAGAAATCGTTTACATGATCTAAAAAGAATGGATCATGCTACAATATCTCCTTTACCTTCCTAGAATGGCATTAAATCATACCAAGTAAACAGAGTTGAACAGAATAAGTAGTGCTTAATCCTAAAAGAAGCACTAACAATTGTTCCAGATCAACTGGGATCCGTCGACAAAGTGATTCCCCAGAAATCCAGTTGCCAGAGAAAGAATGAAACTTGAGTTTTAAATAAGTGGCATTACTAAAAACAAATGTACTGCTACATCAGGATGCGGACTACAGCTAGCCCAACTGCAGATATGGAAACAAGGGTACCTATGCAGTACTTAATCACATCATACTTTGCAGCTTCCAACTGGGCTCTTAAAGCATGAATTTCCTATAGACAGTTCAAAAGATGAGGTTAATATTGTATGTCAGCATCTAAACACAAATTTTCAAAGGAAATAAACAAGCTCACCCTATCTAGCTTGTTTGTCAGGTTGTTAGTTTCCGCATTCTGATTGGCTAGTTCATCACGTATTCGCCTAAAACCAGTTCAGAGTTAAGAAAATAAATGATTGAAACAACTGAAGAAAGCAACTACGGTCATGCAGGGAAGCAGTTTAAAATTAAGTCTACTTACCCTCTTTCAAGATTTAAATCCAGGCGCTGGCCAGCAGTGACTTTGTCAATTTCATACCTGTTTGAGATACCCATTATATAAAATCCAGCCATCACAATCTTCAGAAAAAGTAAGAAACCATTTCCATTATACTCCATACAATATACCTTAGTTCACTTCGCATTTTTTCTATGTCACCTCGAAGCTTTTCAGTTTCACGTTGCAGCATAGAAAAATGATGCTCCTGCAATAAAAGAAAAACTCATAAGAAACCACAGGACTACAAGCATTTGCAGTATATCCATCTGATAGTCCACTATCAATGACAATTCAGAATATATAAACAAAAACTTAAAAACAAAACAAAAAAATCATTTAGAATTACTTATTCTGAGAAACACATATTTACATGAGAAAAAGTGAATAAATCTAATGGCCATCAAATATCACTAAGCTTGTAAAGGGCATGCTCCACCATAGCAATAACAGAACAATCTCAACTAAAGTAATCATCAGTAGTACAACAATAGAATGAGGGAAGGCAACAATCAGGTCCCAATAATTAAATATTTTAACCAAGTAAGATTGATAGGACCAAGTAAACTAATATAATTAAAGATAAAAAATTTTTGTGCATAGATGTATGGATGAAGTTGCTGATTAGGAATAAAATTTATAGATAATGGTGCATATCAATAGACTGATCCCGAGAACTACTATGAAGTCTGATCATATGAAAAACCTTGCTACTATGAGTTCAAATTGTCTCAATTGGCTTGCAATTTCAAAATTGATCTAATGGAAAAACTACCAAAAAATCCTTTCCATCCCCACACTCATTCATCTTAGAATAACTTGTGGAATAAAAACTTCATATATTATCAATTGCTAAGCATAAAAGATCCAAAACCTCATTGTTTTCCTCTGTGGAAATATCTTTGACCTAAACTTCAAAATATCCATCTGATTTCAAGTCACTGCACCTCCCTGTATTCTTCTCTAACCTACACTTCACTTTTGATACAAGATTTGTCAATTGTCATCTTCATATTCTCCTTCACCTCCTTCCTTTTCTAAACCTTAGCTGCTATCAAGAAAAAAGAAAGGCAAAAGAAGAAAGTGCTGGGAGAAAAGGGTACTAGAATAGCAATTAGAAGGTCAAGTACCCTAAGCCTAACCCAGCCTCAGAAATAGCAACATTGAAAGTTGACACACACAAAAAAAAAAATGGCCATGATGTCATTAATTCAAATCAAATGAGCTGTGACAACAAATAGTTTCTACCAGCAACAACATTTGTAGAGAATCCCAAATACTAGAGTCTGTAAGAGATTGATTGACGCGTACAGTTTCAGTTAAATGACAAGATCTAAATATGAAATGCACACATGATGACAACTGCTGCTATAGATTAACAGTACCTGAGAACTTTTTACTTCAGACTTAAACTTGGATAAATTGGCTTCCTGAAGCATCTCAGTCTACAAAAATAAAACAAAGCAAAAATCACACTAAAAACGATAGTGATTGAAGAGCAGAAAACAAAAGCAATGGAAATAAATAAAAAGATCTTTACCTTCTGCATTTCTGCTTTTGAAACAAAAGAATGGGACACATTCTCCAAGCTGTCATTTAACACTTCGGTTATTGCTGCTGTTATTGCCTCCGCTTGTTTTGATGGCACACCTTGTGCTTCCAAACCTCGAACCTATATGATAAAACAACTCAAAATTAATAAAAAATTAATTAATTTTCAAAAATTCTATTGATTTAAAGAAATATAAAAAAAACAACTAACAATTTTCAACAAAAAACCCAAAATCTACTCGAATCACGTTGATTTTCATAATAAAACTACTATTAGAACTCTATTTCTCAGTTTTCTCGACAACCAAACGGCAAGTTTTAAGAAAAATAAATAAATAAAAAGAAAAAAGAAGTACCAGAGCCAATGTATCGACGAGAAAGGCCCGTTTTCCGTTGGACTTAACGAGTTGAGAAATCTGCCGATATGTAAACCTGTTAATTAGGGAAGCGGAATACGCATGAAACCCTAACTGAACCACGCGCTTACACGCGCTCATTTTTTTTTTTGAATCACTAAAAAATCCGGTGGAGACAAGGAAAAAGCAAATGCAAATTGGTTACAAAGAAAAGAGGCAAAACTCGATATTTTTTGCAAGTGAACAGATTGAAAGAAGGAACAGAAGAAATCAAGAAAAGAAGGCGCGGGGAACAGCTGAAAGACAAAACGAATACGTCTATAGGCGGCGAACACGCGGGTTATGATGAGAAGGTTCGTTGAAGAGGAGGAAGTTAAGTTGAAAATTTTGGGGCAGCAGATCTGCCGGTTGGGGTAAGTTTTTTTTTTTTTTTTTAATATTTTATATAGGCTTACTTTGCTTGCCCAAAACGCACCCGCTGCTCACCTTCTCATCCAAAAGTTTAAATAGAAATAGGCACTTCAGCATTTTTTTTGTTTTTGTTACTACTAGTACAAGAAATTGCTGCAAAGTGCTGATGACTAAAGAAGAATTATTTTTTTTTGTTTACAATTCTGTTTCTTTTTCTTTTTTTTTCATTAATCTAGTCTTTTTAAAAAATGTGATAATTTAAAAAAATTTTAAATTATGTAATAAAATTAAATAAATATCCATTTTTATATTGTTATTTCTACCTAGAAAACTTTTGTGATTATCAGTTTATTTGTACACAACCACACAAAGGAGTGGGAAAACAATGCCAAAATGAAAAAGTCTGAAATTTTTTTTAATTGGAGAAAAAATGGATTCGGATGCAAATTTTTTTTGTAAAAAAAATTATTATACCTACTAATAAATCAAATGCGAAGTACACCATTTTTACTTGCAAAGATCATATGCATTAAGAAGGAAGTACCTAAAGGCTAAACTTGAAAACAAAACGCATTCTTCGCATGCAATGAATTAATTACAAGAAATTAGGAGCATAAGGATTGCAATGAATATTCTATGCATCAGTTGCAAACATTAGAAATTTCCTAGCAGTTCGCAGGGTCTTAGTATAGAGTTAGGGCCATCTTTGTAACAATTAGAGCTGCTTTGGAGGTGGCAGTTTATTATAGTATCAAAAGGTTGAGCTATGTAAATAAACAAGCTCCGATTGTTGGAGTGACTTCATATACTCAATTAAAAGGTGTTTATTACAACAGTCAAATGCTTCTTCCCTCCTGCTCTGAAGAGAGAGTACTTGATTTAATTCAAATTGGAGACAAAAAAACAGTAGAATCATTATAAGTTTGTATTAAGCTTCCCTCTCAAGTATATATCATAACTGTGCTCAGCAATCTCACTTTGGTCGCCTGTACAGAATGTCGTCCAGACTTTCTTTTATGCGGTTTCCAATTTTATTCAGATTCTTCACAACACCTGCTGCGACAAGGCCCGCATTTCTCTTAAACCTGTATATTCAATAATCAACAATTCAGGATTCTGGTCTTTTTTTGGAAGACATATATTAGGAAGAAACACATAATTATCTTTTACGTATCAAGAATTTCCAAAATCTCAATCAGTGCTTGCCTGTTATAGTACTCGTCTCCTATTGACTGCGTTGACTTGTGGGCTTGAGGTTGAGGAAGTCCGTGGATTTCTATAAGAGAGCAAATATAAAAGACCACATTATTAGAAAAGAACCTAAATCAGTACTCATCTCCAGCTCAAATCCTATGAATCAAATTGGTGGAAGACTGCCTGGATCTGTCTGCCCCAATTCTTATCTCTCTACCCTTAAATTTAACTATTTTCCCACTCTCTTCTATCTCTATTCTTTATTTCTCTCTCCCTGTCCCTCCCTTGCTCTGCATCACATATCCTCTCTTCAGAAGATGTTTTGTACAAATCACCACACCCAAACAACACAAACTGTTGCTCCTATAAACTTTCTGATCACTGATTTGAGCTCCATCGTCTCTGCTTCTACCTTCTTAATGAAATTGCATTCCTGAATCCCGTTTTTGGTCACACTTATCCTAAATCTTTTAGACTACATAAAGTAATCCCCCAGATTTCTAACAGCTAATAAACTCCAGCCTCAGTCTCCTCTGCCACGATTATATCATCCACAAATAACATTCACCAAGAGATAGCATCTGGAATATGTTCTTAGCAAGTTCCAGCAAGAACTAGTGCAAAGAGGGATGGACTTGAAGCATATTGTTGGTGTAACATTATTCTCACAAATTCCTTACAAAAAAAAAAAGACAAAATTTGAACTGAATGACTTCAATACCTTTGTTTTTATGGATATTGGCAGGAATATGGTCAGCAGATGCAGGTGTTCTGTCCAACAATACCTGAAGCAATCGATAACCATAGTGGAATATGATTTCACAGAAATATAACAGACATAAAGATAAAGAGTTTAACCACTTATATAAACATGTTTTATAAGGGAAGAAATCTATTCAAAATATGTGAGATAATGCTCATCATGCATTTCACCATTTAGGAAAACCTAGATTTTTTTTACAGGTAAATCAAGAAATGATTGAGTAGCCATATCCACTATATTAATAGGTAATTTACAAATCACCTGACATGAATGCAAACTAACCACATAAGAAATTTGAAATTCATAAATATTCATATAGATTGAGAATTGATAATTTCCTCCAAGTGAGTCCTAAACCCTTTGAGCATAGGTATGCATGTAGCAACATACAAATCAATAGACAATAGACACCCTCCCTCCTCATATACGAATTTGTAGCAAAAATTCAGAACCTCCAAACAATTCAAATACAAAATATACTAGTAGTAATACGTTGCCAAAACTCACAGTCTACAAATTAGAGAAATACAAAATATATGCATTTAGAAGGAGAAAGAAATAAAAGACGAGAGGAGATACCTCGAGACCGACACAGAATGGTAATTCAACTGGTTTATGAGCCTGATCAGTCGAAGAATCTTTGTTATCTAAGTATACGGAGTAACCAACACAAGCATACTTGAAATCTGTAAGAGTGCGGCCTTCCTTGGAAGCTTCCAACTCGGATTCCCCAATCATGTAGCTGGGTACTATCATAAGCTTCATTCAGTACATATCATTCTTTTTTCCCAAAATTTCAACAAATAAATCGAATAAATCAAGGCAATCAAACGAAACATAAGAAAAAGAGAGAGAGAGAGACCTTGTTGGAGAGTCTTAGGGATGCCAACGCAGGTGGGGTTTCGGGATTTGGATTTAAGAGCTGAAGAGTAATAAAGGCATCCTTTGCATGATTTCCCCTTGGATCCTTGGCTTTGATTGTTAGAAGAATTAGGGTTTGAATTCTGGATTTCGCTCTTTGCGTCTTCTTTATTGCTCATCTTTGGCTTTGATTGTTAGGATTATCTCTCTGCGTTTTGTATGTTACAATAAGGGAGGAGGAGATTGGTCTACTGAAGCCGGCTCGTCCTAGGCCCTTCGTTTTTGGGCTCAAAAGATTTATTACTATCATTTGATTGATCGACTTGTCTCCGAAAAAAGTATGTTTGCGTACATACCACAGACAGGGTCCACCAACAGTTGACACCTAGAGGCTGGAGCTGCCAAATTTGTCTTATTCGACTTTTGATTAATTACTAGACATGGCAAAAATGAAGAATAAGTGGATTCAGACCCGTTTGATATAACAGAGAAAACTTGACCCTAGACCTTGCCATGGCAAGTGCCTGACAAGAAGCTTAGGTAGCACCGCTAAGTCTCCATAAGGCAATTTGAGCCACATTTTGCAGTTCTAGTAATCGAACATTGCCGCTTCACACTAACTAATATCAGAATAGGATGGAAATTATTGACTAAGGAGTTAAACTGACATTCCATTGGCATAAGGAAAACAAGAGGTGCTAAACTACAAAAGTTTTTACATGTATAAATCATCCAAAGATCTTATAACGTTAGGACATTTTTAAATGGAATTTTACTGTACAGATATAGCTACTCTATGCTGCTCTAGATTGCCAAAATTTAAGTGTGCATGTAATCGCACGATGCCCCTTTCTTGCAGTGCCCACTTTCATGGAATTTGCACACTCTCTGCCCTTTAAAAGGAGACCTCGAAGAACCACCTCCACTGCCAAATGATGACTGTCGACTCCAAGGTTTGACCCCACCATAACCAGAATCACCACCCTGAGAACCCCTATCCCTTTGATTCGAGAACTTGTCTCCGCTGTGATTCTGTTCATTTCCCCACATGCCTGAATTTCCAGAAGGCGCCACATAACCAGGATTTGCACTTCCTGGTGTTGCCCCTTGCCCAGGAGCAACCCATCCAGAACTCGTATTAACAACGGCAGGGCCTTGGCCAGGTGGTGCCCACCCTGGAATTGCATTCCCAGGAGCAGTCCAACCTGAATTTGCATTCCCTGGCATTTGTCCTTGGCCAGGTACAGCCCAACTTGGATTCGGATTAACAGGTGCTGATCCCTGACTAGAAGCTCCCCAGTTAACATTTGTATTTGCAGGTACAGGTGCCCCCCATCCCATGTTTTGATTTCCTGGCATTGGCCCCCAACCACTGTTCTGATGTCCTGGTGCCTGTCTCAGGGCAGCACCTTGGTTATCTGCAACAGCCATACCCCAAGGTAGATTGGTTGGAGCAGGAAGCTGAACATTTGACTGAACTGGAACAGTAGGCCTCCAAGGATCTGACGCCAGCATAGTTGGTTGGCCAGTAGGAAAATGTCCAGCAGGATTTCCTGTGCTTAAAGGAGCAGAATTTTGACCAGATTGTGATGCCTCATTCCAGTGACCATAACCAGCAGGTTGAGGAGGCAAGGCAAGTGAGGGATTTGGCTCTAGCTTCTGAGCTGAAGCATTTCCCCATGCTTGAGTTCCAGTTGCAGGTATAGAGGATGCAGCAACCACTTCTTGCCTCAAGACCGAGCCAGAACCCCATCCATGAGTTTCAAGAGAAGGATTATGAGAACTCACAGGTTGAACCAAATTCTGAAGAGATTCACCTACATTTTTCATATCAGCACCTGAATTAATTGAAGCCTGAGCATTGACCTGTGTCCTGAGTGATTCACCTGACACTGCCGTATGAGAATGCACCACAGGAGCAGCTGGGCTCCCACTCTCTGAAACAACAGTAGGAGGTTGCAGCCCTGAGGTAAGCCCTCGGAATGGATTGGCTACCGAAACAGAAACTGATGACTGAACAGGAGTAGGTGACCATTTGCTTTCAAATACTTGTCCCTTTGCCCCACCACTGGGATTTTGGTTTGGAGTGGGAGAAGGTAGATTTGTGTCGGAGCCCCATGCATCTCGAGAATACTTTGGCATCTCAAGTGAAGATGGGGCAGCTCTGCCTGCGGAAGAAGGGGCTTCAGTTTGAGATTTCCAACTTTCTACTGCAGATTGGCCTGACGAACTCAAAGAACGCTGAGGACTCCAAGCTACATGATTCTGATCAAACCTTGATCTTTCTCCAACTTGACTTTCCATTCCTTGTTTCAGGGTTGCTCCAACAGAACTCCCATACAAGGCCACCTGAGCCTTTGGAAAGCTATTATCTGCTACTGGAGCGTCTTTCTGAAACTTTCCAACCAACGCATCAGTCAGAAGTGTAGAATCATCTTGCTTCTCGGTAGTTCTCCAAATTTTTAACTCAGCAGGGAAATATCCAGTGTTATTCCATTTCCGCAGCTGCACCATTGAAAATGGTCCTTGGACCTTGCCAGATGGATCCTGGTAATGCCAAATCTTCTCTGTTTCATTAATTTGGGCAGCAGCTGTTACTCCTGTAGATAGAGCTGTAGGTGAAATTTCTGACACAACCTTTGAAGAAGGTTCCTGTGTTACAACAGAGTGGGTATTCCTAGTGCCAATTTCAGAACTCAAAGCAGTTTTTGGCTTGTCCCAACTGTTTAGTTGTGTTTCTCTCTCCCATCCTAGGTTCCATAAATTTTCATTCCCCATCTCACCAGCTCCAACAGAATCATCGCCTTTGCTCACAAGTCCTTTATTAGATAAGTTCCTGCTTAATTCCCGATTCATGCTAGAATAATTTCTAGTTCCACTCCAAGAATCACTGGAACTGAGACCTCCCTTCCGGGGAGAAATTGGCTCCCTCCCTCTCCTGCTAAAGCCACTACCTCTTGGCCTCATATAGTTATCTGCATGAACCTAAAACATTGTCAAACTGAATGGCAAATACAAGATATAAGAGAGGACACTGAAAATTTTGACAAGGTAAAGAACCTTGTCTCTTATCATCTTCCCCTTCATCCTCTTCAGATTCATAACTAGGATCCATGTTAGGGTCTACATGTATCTCTGGAATCTCCTCTAATCTACGCTGTCGCTCCTCAGGTGTCTTTAAAATCTGCAACTTCTCTACACATTCTCTAAGCGTGAACACAAGTCAAGGAATACATTGAAATTGTTGGGACACAAACAGCCAATTCATTAGAAAGAAATATATCATGCACAGAGAAACTTTAGACGAATTTAGCGACCAATATGAAATCTAATTATAGTTAGATTCAAAATCATTTTTTTTTACAAGTTCAATTCATCACTCAGACGTATGAAAGGTATCCTACAGCAGCTACACTCAAGAAATCCTTCCAGTTTTTTATTTAGAACAACGCAAACAACAATTTTGTCAGATTGCCCACAAAATGAGGCTTATGCAGTGTTAGTACTTTTTGAGGCCAAAACCATAAACAAATGGGCCTAGATTTCAAATGAAAGAGAAACTGACAACCCACACCATAGAGTTTGTAGGGGCATTGGCTTAAAAACAACCATAACTAAACATGAATCCCACCACAATCTAACCTAACTAACAGAACAATAGAGAGGAAGACTAGCACAAAGGTTACCATGAATTGAACATGAAAGACCGAGCTTGACAAGCATTGAATTAGAGCAAACTGCACCTTTATTCTTCACATAGATAGCTTAAATTGTTCAAAAAATTATCTTAGCATATGGAATCTATCACTTAAAAAGCTTAAGCAAGCTTGAAGTCCATTGTGAAAATATGTGAACATGATTTAATCATTAAACACTCAGTAGCCACATAAACATCCTTAAAATTATGCTTCATAACTATGAAGGAATGGTAGGAGAGGAAACAGAAAGAGAGCGTAAGGTTTCGGCACTTTGGATTGCTTAAAATCAAAGAGGGAAAGGAAAGGGAGGGGTACATCAACAAACTTGTTTGATTGAAGAGTGGAACCAGAAAAAAATGATAAATTTTTTGTTCTTTGAAATTATATACTTTATAAGTAATAATAAAATGTTAAAATGAGAGCAATTTTGTCTGAACAGGGAAGTACTTTTATCGAGGAATCCTTCTCCACCAAATTCCCCAATTTGGAGGGAAAAAAATAAAGGTCTCTAAGGATTTGGGAGGATATCTCTCCCTTTCTGCGTAAAGATGTTCTGAACAAGGGTGAGGCTACCACTCCTCCCTTCCCTCAATCCAGAAATCACAGTCAAGCCTCATAGCAAACCACAACAAATGTCAGAAGAACGCCATAAGCCATAAAAAAAATATAGACAAGCATCCAACTGTCAAATAACAGAACAGATAACAAAATTACGAGTAAAGGATATTCCTTTCTACGTCCTTTTTCACTGGCTCGATCACGAAGATGACTGAGACGCATTATCTCTGATTCCAACCACTGCATTGTGATAACAGAGAAACTCAAATTATTCTTTTTTTCTAAACACAAGGCCACAAATACTGATTTTAACATACCAATTAAACCATTCAAGAGGATCAATTTCAGGGTTAACCAAGATTGTGAACCATTTTTGCATATGATCCATATTTTAGAAATTTACCTTTTTTCAGATGCCTTTCATTTTTGTACTCAATATCATACTTAATCAAGACTATCCAACAGGTAATGGTGCACATGATGCTTTTCGAAATTGTAGAACATACTAATTAAACATTCTCCACAGACAAAAATACTGTATGTGTGCATTTGTGTCAATATATATACACATATATGATAACCCTAGTTCAAAAGAAAGATATTTACATCTTTGACTCTGACTGCCTGGACTGCCATGGCCTTTTCCTGTATATCTCCCTGCAGCAACCAATTAACCCTCTAAAAATGACTCCCAATGAAATTTAAAAGAAAAAAAAAAAGATAACTACTCAATAGTATATAAAAATGTGATAAACTAAAACTGAAAAATTACCACAGTCAGCCTGTTGATAAGTCCACACTTTATGCTCTGGCGCAGCCGCTTGCATTCATCCTAACAGATCAGGCAACTTAGCATTATTTTTAAAAGAAATAAGATTTCAATATAAATAAACAAAACAAGATACCGGCCCAACATGATTTGATAATATAACACGCTAAAAATACTGCTGATATTTTGATGCCTTCTATTTTCTTCATGAACAAGAGAAATAGATTTTCTTTTACAAGCAAAAGAAATAAAATTAAACAAGCCTCTAAGTGTCTA